GAAGTTGAGAGAGATACTTGCTTAGGTTTTGAGAACTGCTGTTACAAGTAGACAGAAGTGAGCTAAATGGTTCCTATTCTGCAAGGCAGATTAATGTGTGTTATGTATGATCCTGCCCATTTTTGTCTATAATTGGAAGATGACTGACTAAGCTTAGCAAGCTGGTTTTATTTAATGAGCTTTTGCAGGAAAACAGAAACCTGTTTTAATGATATCTGGGGTTCTAGAGTCCACCTCTGCACCAGTCATGCCTTTCTGCATTTGGCATTCTTGCACTCTGCTTCAGTTCCATATGAATGTGTGTTTTTTTGGATCTGAGAAACTTAATTCTTCCATAGTGGAGCATGCTAAACAGTGGTTCTGCATTGATTGTGTCAGCTGGCAGTTTGTTTTCAGATCATGGGAGTCTTATTCATATATTTGATAGCTTGTGTGACGTCTTAGAAAATGAAGAGGTTGCATGACTTACTTGAACATGTTATGTATGCTTCTTAGGTTACAGAGAGGCAAGAAGCAACCGATAGAGAATGGCAGTGGAGCAGAAGACAACGGCGACAGCTCGCATTGTAGTAATGCTTCAACTCACAGTAATCAAGAAGCTGGGCCAAGTAACAAAAGGACAAAAACCTCCGATGATTCTGGGCTAGAATTGGATAATAATAATACGACAGTTGCCATAGACCCAGTATTGGATGGTGCAAGTGAAATAGAACTAGTTTTCCGACCCCATCCGACACTAATGGAAAATGATGACAGTGCACAGACAAGGTAAGCAGTGGGTTTTGTCCCTTTTTTCAGAAGGTGTTGTGTACATGTTAGTGATCTAGCCTTTTGCGAAGGGGTGTGTGTGCTATCTGATTATTCAGGACAAGCTCTTGGAAGTGCTCAGTTGCCGCCCTTTACCTATGTTTTGGATCATTTTGCTTGTCGATGTTTTTCAATTGCAGTCATTTATTTATTTTTGTACATGGGTTGTCTTTGTTCTTGCTGCAGGTACATAAAGACCTCTGGCAATGCCACAGTTGATCACTTGTCCAAGTACCTAGCTGTGAGATTGGCCTTGGAAGAGCTCCGAAGCAAAGGAGAGTCAAATCAGATGAATCTTGAAACAGCCAGTGAGAAGCAGTACACAATTTATATTGCTACAGCTAATGGCCAGTTTACTGTGAGTAGCTGATTCAGCTAAAACCATAATTGGGAGAAAATAAAGTGCCACAGCTTTAAGATACACCTGAGTCCTATTGAGAAATTCTCCATGCACAGGGCTAAATGCATGGAAGGGAAGCAAGACCACATCTCCTGGCTCTGCTGCCAAAGCCCTGCATCCTCTCCAGAACATCCACAAAGGGGCACCTACTTGTGTTCAGGTGAGCATGCCTAGGCACCCCTTTGCTTGCCCTGTTGATGTCAGAGATGGATCTGCTATGGCAAATGACTTAAAGGGAGACTGTGCGGAATTTCTGAATAGGATTTTGATGTACTTCTGTTCCTCTTGAGGCTGATCACGCAACTTGTATGAAGTGGGCCTGTGAACTAGGAAAAATAAGCACAACATTGGTATAAAATCAGTGCACCGTATTTTTTCCTCTATAAGACGCACCAGACCATAAGACGCACCTAGTTTTTGGAGGAGGAAAACAAGAAAAAATAATAATTCTGAATCTCAGAAGCCAGAACAGCAAGAGGGATTGCTGCGCAGTGAAAGCAGCAATCCCTCTTGCTGTTCTGGCTTCTGGGATAGCTGCGCAGCCTGCATTCGCTCCATAAGACGCACACACATTTCCCCTTACTTTTTAGGAGGGGAAAAGTGAGTCTTATAGAGCAAAAAATAAGGTAAATAATTACATGTCATACTGCTTAAAGAGAGTGTGTGGTATATAGCAGCTGGGACTTGGATTTGAAGAAATCCCAGATTCAAATCTCTGCTCATCTGGAATGCTTTCTGAATGGTTACTAACAAGTGCTCATCTTTGAGCCGATCCTGTTTGTGTAGTTATTTTTACACCAGGGGTGCGGAACCTTTTTGCAACCAAGGTCTGCATCCCCTCTTGGGATTTGGAAGTGGCCAAAGTGGGTGTGTTCACCACCACGAATTTACAGTGGTGCCTCGCAAGACGAAAATAATCTGTTTCGCGAGTCTCTTCGTCTAGCGGTTTTTTCGTCTTGCGAAGCAGACCTATTAGCGGCTTAGTGCTATTAGTGGTTTAGCGGCTATTAAAGGCTTAGCGGCTAAAAGGCTATTAGCAGCTTAGCCGCTTAGAAAAAGGGGGGGAGCAAAAAAATCCAAGACTCGCAAGACGTTTCCGTCTTGTGAAGCAAGCCCATAGGGAAAATCGTCTTGCGAAGCAACTCAAAAACGGAAAACCCTTTCGTCTAGCGGGTTTTTCGTCCTGCGAGGCATTCGTCTTGCGGGGCACCACTGTACATGCACACGGCTTTTTCCCGCCCACCATGCTGTTTTTAACTTACTGAAGGAAGGACAAATGAAATGGGTCTTTGTTAGAAAAGGATTTCTCTGCATTTGGGCTGCTATAGAGCCCGGAGACGCGGGTGGCGCTGTGGGTAAAAGCCTCAGCGCCTAGGGCTTGCCGAACGAAAGGTCGGCGGTTCGAATCCCCGCGGCGGGGTGCGCTCCCATTGTTCGGTCCCAGCGCCTGCCAACCTAGCAGTTCGAAAGCACTCCCGGGTGCAAGTAGATAAATAGGGACCGCTTACTAGCGGGAAGGTAAACGGCGTTTCCGTGTGCGGCTCTGGCTCGCCAGAGCAGCGATGTCACGCTGGCCATGTGACCCGGAAGTGTCTCCGGACAGCGCTGGCCCCCGGCCTCTTGAGTGAGATGGGCGCACAACCCTAGAGTCTGTCAAGACTGGCCCGTACGGGCAGGGGTACCTTTACCTTTACTTTACCTAGAGCCCGGAGAGCTTTGGGGCGGTTTCCCACCCCGTGTTTAACAAAGTAAGCTTAGCATCGATCCTAAGTGCTGTAGTTACTTAACTGCTTTCCGCAGGTAAACAGGTACCTAATTACTGAGGTAGTATATGCCCTATTATGCTAGCGAGAATCATTTTGTAAAAGAACTGTAGACGTGTCAAAATACAGCAAAGCGTCTTAACTGTATTTGTAGCTGCTTCTTGCTTTGGAATTGAGAGTGGAATTGACATCTGGATTATATTAGACTATTTATAGCTGTGCCTAAACACTGTCTCTTTAATGCTGTTTGCAAGCTGTGGTTTGTCAAATGTTTTGTTATTTTCCTAGCTATGTCTTCTGTTCATTTTCAAGTGGCAGCAAACACTGGCTTGGTTTCTGATTTTGGCACTAATTCTGACTTTGTCTTTAGGTTTTAAATGGCTCCTTTTCCTTGGAGCTGGTCAGTGAAAAGTACTGGAAAGTGAATAAGCCCATGGAGCTGTACTATGCACCAACAAAGGAACACAAATAAGACTGACAAAGGCTTTGAGTTGGAACTGTAATGGCTTTTATAGCTTTGGTTTACTTTAAATAAGCGAAACACCATCTTCTGCATCGTGGAGAACTGCTTCGAGACTTGGATTCCTTGATGAATACCCTTATTATTAGGCAGTATTTGGTCTGATATTTGTATATATTTCCCTGCCCCCTGGAGGACTGAATGATCTGTACATTCCACCATTGCTGTCCAATCTGCTTTTTTGATTTGGTAGCTCTTGTTCCATGTGCACGATCTTAGGTGCAGTAAAGATTCCCTAGGGATATGTGTTCATGCTGACAGGCTTCACATTGGCAGACATGTACTAGCACCTTGAGAAGTGTTGACAAGAGGCAACAGAGTTGGCTGTAACGTACTCTTTTCCCTACAGCAATGTTAAAGCACATATGGCCAGAGTAGGCTTGCTGATAAACTGGCTACCTGTGATGCTAAAGGAACTGCTGATGCTGGGGGCCAGAAGGGATATTCACGGCAGTAAGTGAACTCTTACACATTGTTCGTGCAATGAGTTGTTCCATTTCTTAAATTTAAAATAGCTACTTGTAACACCAGCTGTTTCCACATAGGCAGCAAACCAGGGAATGTGTACTTTCCCATCAGCCCGGGTGCAATTCTTCTTTCTCTGCCTTTCTTAAGTTAGGGTAATCAGAAACACACTTCACATTAAGAGAACCATAGTTAACTTTAACAAAGGTTAATTTTGGTGTTAATGTACTGATTAACAGTTCAGGAGTGAGGGGGGGGGACTGTAGATTTCTGAGGCTGGCTCACAATTCCACTGTGCTGTGTGAGGCTAGTGTTATAATATATGCATTGGCCTGTTAGGGGGAAAACCATGAGTACTGATACATTTTAGAACTAGAAACCCTTGCTACTAGCTCAGGTGGTTTCAATATGAAGTAACTAACTAAAGTAAGGCAAACATCCCTCTATACCCGCACACCTTATAAATATGTGGGATTATTGATGTGGAATCTTCAGTGTTTTAAAGTAAAAGGCACAAAATCTTTTGCAGAACAATGAGAGAGAAAGTTCTTCAAAAATATTATTTATTAGCCATATTAACAACACTTGGCACTTACAATCTTAATAAATAAAACGTATTTGCATTTTTAAATTTCACTTGGGCATGCTTTCAGTTGTTGGTTGCTGTGTGCATCAGTAGTTTATCATTTTGAGCATAATTATCATAAACAGTGGTACCTCCGGTTAAGAATTTAATTTGTTTCGGAGGTCCTTTCTCAACCCAAAACCGCTCGTAACATGAGGTGCGCTTTCACTAATGGTGCCTGTCAGTGCGCGACTTCCGCTCACATCCCGGGGCAAAAGTCGCAACCGGGAGCATCTACTTCCGGATTAGCGCAGCTCGTAACACGCAGCGTTCACAAGGGGGATGATACATAATGCAAGGTTCCACTGTAGTGAAGAATGCCACCATTCTGTAAGGACGAAGATCACTTTCTTCCACTGTAATCCTTCCATTCCCACTGCAGTATATAGATATTTGCCTTTTGTATTGGGAAAGGGAATGTTCCTAATTAGGGTTGAACTTCAAAATTGCACACTCAAGTGTCTTGCTTTCCCTTAATATACTGGCCTTTTAGGAAGACCTTAGGAGGAAACATGGCTTTCTGCTCTTAACTTTCTTTTAGCACTCCCATAGGAGAAAACTGTCGTAAAATGCTCCTGTTATGAATATCTCTTCAATATCAGACATTCCGAAATTATGCTAGCAGTATGTGCCATGAAACTTACAATTACTAGAAGTCTGGGGTGGGAAGGGAAGTTGTACCATGCCTGTTTTGGTTTTGTTCAGTATATTTGGTGTAATGTACAATTTATATAGATTGCTAGTGCATGTCCACTAAATATAATCAGGTTTGTTTTTATGTGAAAAAAAATGCTTTTGTATGGGCAAATACCTGCAAAGAAACAAATCTGCATTGTGATTTACCCTGTAAGCAGATGAAGTGTCTGTAAAATTCTGAAAGCTTATCTACCTAGGGGATGTGTGGTGGTCCCAGCTTAGTGTGGGAGAATGTGAATTTTTACTTCCATGTTACAGTGAATTCACTAAGTATTTATATTTACTTTAATACATAAAGTAGCTGTTTTGATCAAGCCATTGCTCTGTGACTTTAGTACTGTGACTAATTACACACATCAGAACATGTTGCATCTGCATGTTTGTTACTGCCACACTTTCACAAGCAGAACCTTTGGAATGCTGTGATTCTCGGACTTCAAGGCACACCCACCCACCCACCCTGAACACCTCAAGGGAGGTGGGAGAAATAGCAGAGAGGAATAAGATGTAGAGCAGGTGGTATCTACTCCCTGGCCAGCCAAGAACTGACCCCTTGGATTTGTTAGGCTGTCTGCACCCTTTTATAACCCCATCATTCCAGTGTAATTTAAGAAGAAGAGCGTTTAGAGCTGCTGCTCTTATATGTTGTGTGTGCCTTTAGGAGAGGGTCAAATAACTTGTTTTTATTCCTAATCTACCAGTGTGACTCCATTCTGGAGCAATTGCCTGTAGGGATGGACACACAAGTACATGCAAGGATCCTCTGCCATTTCACATAAGGAATAGATGACTGCCTCTTTAAAATAAAATCTACTTTCAAAAACAGAAAATTGGTGTTCATGGGAAGCCATGAATAATTGAATATTAACATCTGCTTATATTGGAGTATTTACAAATACAGTTGTATCTTGGTTCACAAATGCCTTGCAAGTCAAACGTTTTGGCTCCTGAATGCCCTAAATCCGGAAGTGAGAGTTCCAGTTTGCGAACGTTGTTTGGAACCCTAATGTCCGACACCGCTTCCGATTGGCTGCAGGAGCTTCCTGGAGCCAAGCCTTGGTTTCTGAACATTTTGGAAGTCAAACAGACTTCCAGAACTGATTCCATTTGACCTTTGAGGTACCACTGTAGTCTGCTACTATATTAGCATGTACTCTCAATTAGAATTAGTCATAATTTACCCAGTCTTGGATTTTCTGGAATGACTATTTCACTACTAAAATCAGTACCTCAGTAAAATGTATAGCTGTGTCAGAACTAATCTAGTTGTAATCTTGTATAATATAAGAAAAGTTAGAACACTAAAAAACTTAACCAAATGAAGCAGTCCATGAAAGGTGCTGCAGTACTAAATGTAAAAATAGCGAGGAAATCCTGATCTGAGTATTTACACTCAAAGGAAAAAAGGGGGCAGCACCAAACACGGGCAAAGCCTCAAAATGGTACTGAAAATATGATTTTTATAAAACATGTTCAACACATTTTGGTGATGTCAAGAGTACTTACTGAAAGAACCATATAAATAAAACCACAATACAAATTATATACATCATCACTATTACATTAAAAAACGTGAATATGCCTTCTTAGTACAAACCTCAAATACAAACCAACTTCAGTAACATCTTGACATACTTTTCATTATAAAACTTCCTAATTTCATAGTCAATACTTTTATATGCATAAATCCCTAAAAATTGGAATTGCAAACAAATATAATCTATTGATTTTCTTGGTAAATATACAAAAGGGAGGGAATTCGAAAGTCGAAGGAATAGCTTTACTTTTCTATTGTAGTTTAATTTCAGGTTGCTGTCCTAAAACTAGTCTTAGTAACTATAAAATATTTTAGTTTTTGACTAGTTGTTTATATACATTAAAATGGTTAGTCTTATTTGTAGTAAACTTTTTGTTCCTTCCTCTTCTTCAGCACCCCCCTTTTTATAAATCTAAAAGGTCAATAGATTATTAGAAGAGAGTGCAAGACAATAAATCAATAGCTAATACTTGCAGCTGGTATAACACCACCAGTGGGTGGGGAGCTTTGGTGCTGTGAGACAAAAGGCAAGGAGAAAGAAGCTCACTGTCTAGATCTCTGGGTTCTTGGGTTGGGAATGAGAAAGGAAGCAGCTTGGTGAGTCCCACAACATGAAAACTTGTGGGGTGGGAAGAAGAGAGTGCTGCAAATGAGTTAAGAAAATGGGCAGGGATGGGAAGCACCAGGTGTCAGGGTGGAGCTTCCCCTCTTATTTCATGGGTTTGGAGATAAATTACGTTTTTAAAAATCCAGCATGTCTAAGTGGCGGGCCAATACTAGAATGGCAAGTATAGTGGTACCTCGGGTTAAGTACTTAATTCGTTCCAGAGATCCGTACTTAACCTGAAACTGTTCTTAACCTGAAGCACCACTTTAGCTAATGGGGCCTCTCGCTGCTGCCGCGCCGCCTGAGCCCAATTTCTGTTCTTATCCTGAAGCAAAGTTCTTAACCCGAGGTACTATTTCTGGGTTAGCGGAGTCTGTAACCTGAAGCGTATGTAACCCGAGGTACCACTGTATGGGGAAAGCAGATTCCTAGCAGGAGGAAAAGGGGGTTGCCACAGATGCACTGAGAGGATGGGGTAAGCTACTGCAAAACAATCTCCAATTTATGCCATTCTGGCAGGGAGTGAATGGAGTGAGCAGTGGGCATAGGGAGTTATTCATATGAACTATAAAAATAGATTGACGATTTCACATTGATGGTCTTGTGATGAGGAAGTTGGAGTTTGGTAGTGAAAAGTGTTTAGATGTGATGTTGGGGTTTGTATGGTTATTAGCATGAGTTGGGTATTCAATATCTGCCTTTCTAGGAATATACCCAATCTTGGCCTGTTCAGTTTCCTTTGTTACCTTTAAGCTTCTCAAAGGCATATCAAATGAGGGGCTTTCAGTCACAGCTGAATAGAACACTTTATTAACAGGTGCTGGTAATGCTTGCACCCACACCCTCAGTCCCCCTCAGCTCCCAGCTATGTCCTCCTCTTAGGAAATATTATAGATCTGAAGAAGGAATTAAAAGGAGACGGAAGTTTGTGGTCACTGTAGGATAACATTAAAGCATGCATTAACATATAAATAAACTTTGTAGCTGAATTGTGATATTAATAGGAGCACAGGTGCTCTTCAGTGGTCTTCTAAGTCCTGAAACATGTTAAAAAAAGCTGAGGGGTCACAAACAAAATACTACATCTTAAGGAGACTGTTGGTTCATTTATAACACAAATCTTCAAATACGAGCATTTTTGCAGAGGTTACTTTAGAAGAAGAGTTTGGATTTGATATCCCGCTTTATCACTACCCGAAGGAGTCTCAAAGCGGCTAACAATCTCCTTTCCCTTCCTCCCCCACAACAAACACTCTGTGAGGTGAGTGGGGCTAAGAGACTTCAGAGAAGCGTGACTAGCCCAAGGTCACCCAGCAGCTGCATGTGGAGGAGCAGGGAATCGAACCCGGTTCACCAGATTACAAGTCCACCACTCTTAACCACTACACCACACTGGCTCTCTTTATGTGCTTTCTTCGGCAAAGTCACCATCAGCTCCTACCTGAGACTCGTCAGAAGCCTGCAGAGAGCCCTCCGATTGCGCTCCCATATATGTGGGTGTACTGTACTTCACAAGGATAGATTTAAACTGCGCCAGGGGGACATTAGTTCGAACACCCATCGGATCAAAATGAGTCCGGCTTACTCGGTAGCCAGCTTGAGAGAGATAATGCAAGAACTTATTTAACCTGGGGAGAAAAATGAATGCACAAAATCAATGCCTTTTTCCTCCTCTCAATCAGATACGTTTAAAACACAACAGGTTGCTTACTTTGGCATGTTCATTCCTTTAATGCTGTGCCTGTGAATATTGTAATAAAAGGCAGGATGCTCAGCATTGCTTTCTGATTTCTGGCGCTTTGTTCCATTTTGGTTGTTTTCATTATTTTTTCTTTTTCCTGGAATATAAGAGTAACTTAAGGATAAGAAACACACACACAAGCCTCTAAAATCCAGCTAATCTGAACAGTGTGACTTAGCTTTATCTTACAGTGGGAAATCTTCACATTTCATAAATTTACATTTAAGAACTAGTTTGCTTAATGAATGACTATAGTAAGAACTCCTGCCCACCCCTCTTTGGTTCCACATGCTATGCTAGATTGACAGGGACCTACCATGTACAACGTAGTAATCTGCTGCGGTATCTGGTGTCTTAATAAACACACCACATTCTTCTAAAACGAAAAGAAATCAGATTTACACTGAAGTCATTAAAGGAAAAAAAACAAGTTAATTTGTGAGCAAATGGCTATCAAAGGGGAAATGAGTGGAATGTTACCGCTGTAGCAAAAAGGTTTAGTTCAAATTACTGATGGTTTACCATGGCTTTGATGCTTTCATTTGAGTAGCATGGCACAAATTGAAATCTCAAGGTCTTATCTGTATTTTGATGGGATGGCCTTTTTCTGACACTGAGTTAGCAATTCCCTTTTAAATTTACTTATTAAAAAAGCAAGTCACCACTGCAATTCACAATTGCTGCCTGGAGTGCCCCTTTTACCTATCAAGGTTTGTAAAACCTTTCAGTGTCTTCTTACCTTGTTTGTTCTGGCTGGTAGGACCATGGATTGAAAACTGCTTGAGAATTGTGCACTCTGCTTCACATATTAGTGTTTTTAGAAGAGTCTGGATGTCTTCTAAACCATACTGAACTGCTTCAAATAACATTCTTCTGAGAAATCCAGTGTTGAAGAGGGATCCTGACCTGCAGGATAACAGAATTACAGTATCTACCTAGATGAATTTATTTCAAAAGTAGAACTTCCGTTCATTTAAGAGCAGGAGAACAACATCACAGTGGAAGAAAAGCACAGCCCTGTTAGCTGATTTTGTTCCTGCTTTAAAATCTTTTCCATTATCTGCATAGCCACTAGCCCAGAGCCCCAGTAGGGCAGGACTCAGGCCAAAGATCAGCTGCACTTTGGGGACTTCTGGTTCCATTCCATTAATAATTAAATTTTGAGAAAGCATTTAAATCAGTACTAGAATTTACTTAAGTATGTGTGTCATGCGCACAACTCTCTTCTCCAGGCTGCAAATGGGCCTGTGGGGCCCCAAGAGGCTGGCAACTCTTCAGCTCAAATAATAACTGCTAAAGCAGTAACTTGCCCAATGCTTTTGGTGAAAACCTGCTTTCGGGCACTGAAAGAATAACAACCTGTAATTCAAACAATGTAATTCCTAATGCAAATTGAATGTAAGAGTTTTGTCTCATTAAAACTACTATGTCTATTTCATATACAGTGGTACCTTGGTACTCGGACAGCTTGGCTGCCAAACAAATCACCTCCTGAACGCCGCAAACCAGGAAATGAGTTTTCTGGTTTGCAAGTGTTTTTCGGAAGCTGAACATCCTACACGGCTTCCAATTGAGTGCAGGAAGCTCCTGCAGCCAATCAGAAGCTGTGCCTTGCTTTTCGACAGTTTCGGGAGTCGAACAGACTCCCAGAATGGATTAAGTTCAAGAACCAAGGTACCACTGTAATTAGTTCTGAATATTTTTATATTGTTTGAATAATAAAGTTGGCTAATTTCAGTGTCCTCAGAGAAGACTTCTGCCAAATACATTGGGCAGTTAATTTGATTAAATGTTCCCTATAATTCTTCAGTACCACTGAGTCTCGCCTTTCTCCTTTTTTATTTGGTGCTGCCATTCCCCCTCCCTGTAGCCTTTTCTAAAAGTGCTTTGATGAATCACATCTAGACAGGGGCAAGCACTTGTTAGACATAGCACACTACATGGGCTCCCTCCTCTCAAGATTCTATCCCATACCTGCCTATTCAGAAGTAAGCCCTACTGTGTTCAGTGAGATTTACTCCCAGGTCAGTGGGCATAGGACTGCAAGCCAAGTTACAATAGGACACAGAAATTAAATGGTTTGTTCATTTCCTACCCTTCTCAATATCTCACAGTGAACTGTCCTGAAAGTGAAGAAAGAACAGTATGATTCTCCCTAGTCTGACATTAGGGTAGAGGTCTTGTAGCTACCTCACTGGTTTCACAGCCACCTGCACTGCACTGATTTCTGAGAGTGTCTTCACCCTGCCAAGACATGGGTGGCCAGAGAGTATCTCATAGCTGCTGATGCTTCCGTAGGAATGCCAGCACCCAACTGAGGATCTAGAAAAATACATACCACAGAGGACCAAGTTCCACTGCTGTCTTGCCTGTCATGCGGCTGTGGCAGTCACAAGGGAGCTGCCGGTAAGGGTTCTCTGTAGAAAACAATATTGGCATTTATTATCTAAACAAATATTGGAGACAATGAACATAGTGGAAACTTGGTAATAGGGTATGTCCATTAAAAAAATAAAGCTTGAAAACTGTTTTTCACAGTGATTTAAATATAACTCACATGGTAGCTATTATTAGGCCTAGGAGGAGTCAGGACACTGTGCAATGAAAATGCAATTTCAGAATTGTGTGCAGTTGCCCAGAAGATGGGGTCAATTTTTTTGGTGGGGGGGGGGGGAGAGGGAATAATTATGTGTTACACCTCACAAAAGATAATAAGTTCAGGGTGTTGATTTCTAGCCAGAGAGTGAGTGTAATATGGTGGATAGTTTTGGACTTGGACTTGAATAGAGATTTTGGCTTGACTCCCTGGATTATTTAGGCTAGATGAGAATGATAAATCACACAGGCTATTTTGGAGGGTGAAATTGTCCCAAATGAGCCTCCCGGTGCATTAAGATCATTCACAGAAGCCCTCTGGCCAGTTTTGAATACACATTTAGTTGTTTGTTTTTACTCAAAGAAGACCCACTGAAATTAACAGACACAACACACTTAGGATCATTGATTTCAGAAAGCCTACTCTGCAAAACTCTTTGTTGGTGGCCTTGGACTGTAGAAGCAAAGGCAGGGTACAAATATTTGAAATAAATTAAACTTATGCTGGACCAATTATCTTTTTTGAAAAAATCCACAGCAAAGAAATTAAGCAGAGAAAAGTTTAGCTTTTAAAAATAACCACTGGATTGTGTATGTTTTGTTTTCACCAGCTGAACAGCACTGGTATATGAAGTTACAGCATATATGATTACCTTCTATCATGTTGCCATCTTTCTTGAATACCCTTTCCTCACACCACTGACAGTGGAGCAGGTACCGGATTTTCTTCACAGTATCATCTGCAGGAGACGGCCCCCTCAATACTCTCACCTCCACTAGGACAAAATGTTCGAGAGCCACAGCGAGCAAAACTTCAATGCCTTTGTTGCATCGAGCAGCAGCTCTGCAAAAAAGACTCACCATGACTAACACAGTTCATGAAAGACTAAAGCAGTGTTCAGGCAGGGGCACACATGCCCAACATCCCTGCCCATGCAGGCTGCTCTTCAGACCCTTCTGGAATTAGTGTGAAGGTCTGAATAGAAGGGTTTTTAAGCGTGTTCGATTAGCCACACTTAGGGATCTCACTCATGAAAGGGTATCTATCTTATCAAGATTCCTGTCACACACAGAGATTAAGTACATTCAGCTGGGTACAATTAAAACCATCTTCAGATCTCTAGGGTTGGGAGGGTAGGGTCTTCCATGTCCCCACCCCCATTTTACAACTCACATATTCAGGTATATATATGATTGAATGTGTCAAGTCTTACTTAACGCACAAGTTTGATTTCACTGGAAGGTCTTCTGAGTACCTCTTGTACCCTGTGAAATTTTACAGTCCCAGCACATTGACTCCACTAATTTCCAGACATGACTCCTACACTTAAATGTCTTATTTCAATGCCAATACACTTTGCTAACAAAATGCTATGGATAAACACAAAACAAACAAGCTAAAGTCTTCATGTCGCTTTTTAATCATGCAATGACCTTCATGAAATTGCACCCATGACTAAAAATCTATTATAACGATGTAGTTCTAGGATTTGCTTCTGAAGAATTTAAGATTTCCAAATTAGTTCCAATCAGAGGTGATTGCAGTTACTTGCTTCAGTTCCTGCTGAGCAGTGGAATAAATCCTCTAATGAAGTTTCTTTTTACTAACACTTTTGAGCAAGACGTTTTCTGGAAGATGTGCACACAAATTATCCTATGGAAGTCAAGTCAAAGGAGATATATTGTGCACAGTTGTACTCTAGGTCCCTACAACTTGCAATTCACTGCTCAGGTCACCAGCCACTTATGGTGGTTATGAGGAGTTGGGAGTGTAAAAACAAGGAGACCACAAAATATCTGGCAGACCACAATATATGGCTTTCAGCAGGGTGAGTTACAAGGCTTGCAATTCTGCTTTGGGCTGTTTATAATCTGCTTTACAGTATTTGTTTTCTCTTTTTCTCCCCCCTCCCTGCTTTACAGTATTCATGCTTCCAGATATAATTTCTGAAGGCTGTCAGAAAGCAAGAAGCAGAGAACCAATTTCCCCCAGCTGCTACTAAAAGTTTCAATTAGCAACTTTAGGTGGGAGAGAATACAGCCCCCTTATACTTAAATGTGAGATGACCACAATTCAGAAACTAATTGTACCTTGCCACAGCAGCAACTACCATCCTAGCAGCCAGTTCTTTGAAATACTCCGTCCTGACAATGTTGCAGCCATAGTGACGCTGGGCCACATGCTGTGCCTTTGAATAGAGAGAACTGATATCTGTTGATGTCACTGACACAATTCCAAGGTTTCTTACATTTCTGAAAGCTGCATCTAGATAGTTCACTGATGACCCAAATGGGTCAAGATGTCTGTAGAGTGGAGTAAGAGAGAGATAAAAACACATTAAAGAGAGATTCCTAATCTTGTTTACTCAGAACAAGGGTTTCACTGTGTTCAGTAGAACTAGTTTCCAAGTAAGCCTGCTTAGGGCTGCAACTTAGCTATTACACTTTAAATATTTGATTTTCAAAAGCCATATCCATGCTCAAGTCAGAAATAAAACAGAATATAGGTTATGCTGTGACCACATTTCACATACGTAGTTTCAGTCAAGACTATAAATCTAAAGAAATACTAAGCTACCCACACTTAATAAGGATTGTTAGCGAATAGCATATTTGCCCAGTGGTGCAATTTATTATTATTTATTTGTAAAACTTAGGAACTAGCCATATCTTCTGGGAAAGGAGGAAAGGATAGGGGTCAAAAGGCACTGTTGAGAAGAGGAATAACAGTGTCACTGGCTTCTTTGTCTCCCTATCTCACCTTCCCTCTAGGACCAGGGATGGAGAATTTGTGGCCCTCCAGATGTTGCCGAACTCCAACTCCTATCAGCCACAGCCGGCATGACCAATATTCAGGAAGGAGGGGAATTGGAGTCCACATGTTCCTCATCCCTACTCTAGACAAGGCTTTAACTAAAAGGTGCCAGAGTTTGAGTCTACCAGGCAGTGGTAGCACCAGCCTGGTATCCTTTCTCTTATGAGTGGCTGTTGATTTCAGTTATTCAGTAGTGAGGGAGGCACTCTGTGTGTGCTCAAGGTTGCTCTTTCTTCTCCCTATCTCCTGACCTCTTCAGCAGTCTAGATGCCTATTTTAAAGGTGCAAGTGGCTTCTGGGCACTGAGATTTTTGCAACCTTGCTAAATATTCCACATAATAGTCTCCAGCACAAGGGTGTAGCTTTGGTGACTTGGAACACTCTGCTAATGCATTGGTATGACTTTACTCACCACTTTGTGTTATCCAGTGATAACAGGATTGGTAAAGAGTAGAGTTTCTTGAGAAAAACATATGAATATGCAGCTGAACAAAAAAACCACTCTGCAAATGGCTCACAAACAGAAACTGAAAGGCTGAGGATGGTTCTGCAAGCTGCCCACCCAAGTCCTAAAGTTGCAAGTAAACATTAATATATCTTAAGCAAAGTAATCATTCATTTGCATATATAGTAATGACAACTGTGCAGTACTGTGAACTAATATTTTTCTAGCCAGTAACTCTTGTAAGAATCCCCACTTATTTTGACTAATGGTGTATGGATAGGCAGAAGGTAGACTGGGATAAATAATAATGGTATAAATGAAGCAACATCCTAGTTGCAGTACAATTCTATTAGGGATGAGACCCTGCTTTAAAAGTTTGGGCAACAAAGTTGCTTTCATTTTTAGATATTAAGAAGGCTCATCAAGTTTTGCTTAATTAATTTTACAATATTTATAATATATCTGAATAATCCATTACATGGAGCAACATGCTGTTGAAGCAGCTCCAGCTGAGATTATTGCACTGGTCTGGAAGCAGCTGAGGCCACCACCTTATGGAAGCTAAGCAGGTCAGGGTCAGTGCTTTGACTTCCACGAGGGAAGAAAAGAGGAATATAAATGTATGAAAATATATAATGGCATATACAAAGTTTCATCAGGGCTGAAGAGTAAAAAGGAGATGCCATGAAACATCAATTTAGGTTGATTTTATATTGACAAGTCTTTGCACAGTGCCATTGTTTCGGTTGTGCCACACTTGATCTCGTCTCCACTTACCAAACCCTAGGTGTTGGGGGGTAGGGGTGGGTTCTGATCCAACAGCAAATTCCACTTACATAAAATCAAATGCTCTCAAGTGCATGATGACATTGGCATCCATTTTTGTCACCTCAATGGCAGGCAAGTTTTCCTCCCCTTCTTCTATTGTTTCATCACAGTCTTCCTCCTCTTTGAAGTTCATCACCACTTTCATTTTATTTAAGTGACAGTTCTCCTGTATCATTCTTACAGAGTTTTCATTGTAGTCATTAATTGTGACCTTCACGGAATTTCCAAGATGCTTGGCCCACTGTAATCCCATTATACCTGGAAGCAAAAGATGTAAAGGCAGTGACTGATTTACATGTGTCCAACTGACTCATGAGCATGAACATGCACATTGTGGCGACTCAGAAGTGGCCAGAAAAGGGGGAATAATGGGGGGGGGGCAGGCAGTAATGGGCTTATGCACGCTCTGCTGTCACGCATGATGACCTGGAACACAACCCCTGTGTAGATTGGCGGTTACTTGTGTACAGTTAGATGCATGCAATGAAGTAAGAGTTTGTTCGTGTGGAGCATACTGCATAGAAACATGCTAATGTTCTTAATATACACAATGCACATTAAATTATTATTATCCATAACTGAAAAATATGTATATAATTGCTTTCACTAAGGCTAACAAATCAACATGATTGTTTGCTAATTCTATTCCAAGAAAGGATTTATTTCTCAAATTGACAACCCCTCTTCTCTTTTCCTGAATGCCAGAGCAACTAACAGAACAGCAGTGTAATCCTAGACATGTTTTTCGCATAGTATATCCCAGTGACCTCAGTAGGATTTACTCTCCAGCAATTTTCCTTTACAAGGAAACAAAGTTAACCAAAGCACAGAACAGCACCCTACCAGTGGCTCCAAATGCATCCAGGCATTCCAAAGGTTTCCGTTCCTCTGCTAGAACAGCTAGAGCACAGACTACGAGTTGCCTAAAAGAATAAAAAAGTGATCTTAATTTAAAAAAAGATGTAAACTCCACATGCGTAATTTATTCTTCCTTTCGTAAGTTTCTGGACAGTTTCTTCAAATTAAGCAACTTGCAAAATAATAATAATAATAATAATAATAATAATAATAATAATAATAGTAATAGTAATAATAATAGTAATAATAATTTTATTGTTTATACCCCACCAATCTGGCTGGGTTTCCCCAGCCACTCTGGACGGCTTCCAGCAAAATATAAAAAATAATAAAATGTCAGACATTAAAAACTTCCCTGAACAGGGCTGCCTTCAGATGTTTTCTAAAAGTTAGTAATTCTTTATCTCCCCGACATCTGATGGGAGGATGTTCCACAGGGAGGGCGCCACTGCTGAGAAGGACCTTTGCCTGGTGCCCTGTAACTTTACTTATCGCAGTGATGGAACTACCGTAAGACCTCTGGAAGTGGACCTCAATGTCCAGGCTGAATGATGGAGGTGGTGACGCTCCTTCAGGTATACTGGGCTGAGGCCGAAAATGTACTGGGAGTCAGTGAAGATCCTTTAGGACTTGTGCTATATGGCAGGTGTTACGAAAAAGGGCTTAATTCTAACAGCAGGCACGTCCAAGAGGACGTTTGTGGTAGATCACGGTCTCCCCCCGAAGAAGCTCAACAACTTAAGCTTTCCTTCCAAAAAAAAGGGGGGGTAGATCACTGCCAGTTTTTAACTCTGAGAGTACATTGCAGTCTCTTGGGAGTTGGCCACCCCTGCTATATGGTATCAGTGGCCACTCCCAGTCACCAGTCTAGCTGCCGCATTTTGGATTAGTTGTAGTTTCCGAGTCACCTTCAAAGGTAGCCCCATGTAGAGCACATTGCAGTAATTCAAGCAGGAGATATCCAGAGCATGTACTACTCTGGCAAGACAGTCTGCAGGCAGGTAGGGTCTCAGCTGGCGTACCAGATGGAGCTGGTAGACAGCTGCTCTGGACACAGAATTGACCTGCGCCTCCATGGACAGCTGTGAGTCCAAAATGAC